CGGCGCGCCCGGGGACTACTTCGCCGCCTACAAGCACCCGCGGTCCCTGGACCTGGTGCTGGTGTTCGACCGGGACCGCCTGGGCCTGGCGCATGGCAACCTCTCCCGCGTGGTGACGGACGCGGCGCTGCTGACCGCCATCGTGGACAGCTACTTCCAAGACGTCGGCCTGCGGGTGCGGCTGGCGGGCCTCGAGCTGTGGTCGGGGCGGAACCGCATCGACGTGGGGCCGGGCTCCCTGGCCGATGTGCTGGGCCGGTTCCTGCAGTACCGGGCCAGCTCGCTGCAGCGGCGGCTCCCGGGCGACTGGGCGCACCTGTACGTGAGCCCGCGCCTGGTCGTGGGGCCGGGTGTGCGCGGGCCCGCGGGCCGGCTCGGTCAGCACGCTCGCCGATGCCGACGTGCTGACGGCCGCCACGTGGACGGCGCATGCGCTGGGCCACGCGGTGGGCATGGCCCACGACCGGGCACCCTGTCGGTGCCGGGGCGGCGACGGCGGCTGCGTGATGGGCGCAGGCCGTGCCGGCTTCAGCGACTGCAGCTACGGCGACTACCTGGCGTTCGTGTCGCGGGGGGCCGCGTGCCTCACGGCCGCGCCCAGGCCCGTCGCCGCCTCCCCCGCTCCGCCCGGGCCGCGCTGCGGCAACAAGGTGGTGGAGGGCTGGGAGCAGTGCGACTGCGGGTCGGCGGGCGAGTGCCAGCGCGACCCCTGCTGCCAGCACAGCTGCCGCCTGGCGCCCGGCGCCGCCTGCAGCTCGGGGCTGTGCTGCCGCCGCTGCCGCCTGCGGCCCGCCGGACACCTGTGCCGCAAGGAGGAGAGCGAGTGCGACCTGCCCGAGTACTGCGACGGCGCCTCGCCGCGCTGCCCCGCCGACACCTACAAGCTGGACGGGACGCCGTGCCACCACGGGGGCCAGTGCTTCGGCAAGGCCTGCCGCTCCCGGTACATGCAGTGCCAGAGCCTCTTCGGGCCCGGCGCCCGGGACGCGCCCCGGCGCTGCTACGAGGCGGTCAACGTGGTCGGCGACCAGTACGGGAACTGCGAGATCCGCGGCGTGGCCAGCTACCGCGCGTGCCCCCGGGCGGACGCCGTGTGCGGCCGGCTGCAGTGCGTCGGGGTGGGCGGCGTGCCCGTCCTACCGGAGCACACGCTGGTCATCGCCACGCGCCTGCGGGACGACAACCTGGTGTGCTGGGGCACCGGCTACCACCTGGCCATGCGGCCCCTGGGCATCCCGGACGCCGGCGCGGTCCCCGACGGCGCCCACTGCGGCGACCGGCGCGTGTGCGTGGGGAGGACCTGCGTCAACCGCACGGCCCTGGCGGGCTGCGCCTGCAACGGCCGTGGGGTGTGCAACTCCGCCCGGCACTGCCACTGCGTCTACGGCTGGGCGCCGCCCTTCTGCGAGGAGCGGGGCTTCGGAGGCAGCGTGGACAGCGGGCCACCGGGCCCCACGGAGGCGACCCTGTCCTCCAACGTCCAGGCCACGCTGCTCCTGCTGCTGCGCCTCGTGCTCTTCGCCGTCACCGTGCTGGTGGCGCTGTCCCAGCAGGCGATCATGCAGTGCTTCTCGCCCTGAGCGAACCCCGGCGGCGAAGCACGCGGCGGCCCGGCCACCCTTGCTCTTCAAAGTACACGGAGATGTCTTTCCCGCGCGTTCAGATCCGCAAATAGGGGAGCGTTGCGGTCCGGAACCCGTGCACACGCTTGCCCTCCCCGGCGCGCACGCACGCACTGGCCCTGGGAACGCGAACTACCCCCCCCCCCCACGGAGGCCCCGCAGTTCCCCACCACCACCACCACCCGAGGCGCCAGCAGGAACGGCCTGGGGCTGAGGACCTGCGGCCCAGCCTGCAGAGCCAGCGTCGGTGGCGAGGGCCGGCCCACGCGCGAGGAGCCGGGCTTCCTGGGCCACACCAGCCCCGAGGATGAGGGGATCCGATTCAGGACCTGCTTGGGCCTCCGCCGGTCCCCGACTCAGGGCCCGGGCCTTGGCTACCTCGCTCCGGGCCACCGGGGCCAGGTTCCAAGGCTATTAAAAAGCTGCACAACAGAAAACCAAGGCCCAAATGGCCCCTAGTACCAAGGAGCGAAAAAAGCACACAGAAAAACCTGCGGGGAAAGAGCAGAGTTACCGCGGGGCACACCCCACCCGGGCCCCCCCAGCACCATCTCAGCTGAGGCTCCACTCCCCAGGTCTGGCGACAGGAAAGACCACTTGCCTGATTGGAGGGTTTCTCCTGCCCAGATAGTCACACCAGCCTCCCAGACCCCATCTTAAACCTCACACGCCTTCCATTGTTCACACAAGGTCATCAGACTTCCTCCCATCCCTCGCCCAGCCCCCTGGAGCAGCTGAAACCCTCCGCTCCCAGCCACGCTCCAGCGCGCTCTCCTTCCACACCGGAAATCCACGAGTGGGTGTGATAGGGGTCCGACCAGCAGCCCCCGCGGCCCGCCTCATCTGCATAGGGCTCGCCCTGTCCCTCCAGCCAAAGCACTGCTTAGTCCCTGCCCTCTCCTCCGCCCACCTGCGCGCACTTTAGAGGGGCGGTGGGGAGGTCCACTAAGTGACAGTCCACCCTCCCTTCGGGTCTCAGCAGCGTCCCGGGGTAAACCCAGCTTGGTCCCAGCAGGGTCTTCAAACGATGGAGTTTAATGGACAGAAGGTGTAGGATTAGAAAAGCTGCCTCTAAGGCTGTCATGTGAAGCTGTGTCTATTACACAGTGCCTGTGGTCCTCATTAATTCCAACTCATTAAAAAATCCTCAGTATCAGGGTATGTTGGCCTACGTGTAATTTCAGCACTTGGGATGTTAAGGCAGAAGCAGGCCTGCCTGAGGTGCACAGAATGACCTGGTGTGGAAGTCAAAATTCTTTATAGGCCTGATACAGGTGGCTCACGCCTGTAATCCTAGCCGCTCAGGAGGCTGAGATCTGAGGATCAAGGCTCAAAGCCAGCCCGGGCAGGAGCATCTGTGAGACCTTTATCTCCAAGGAACCAACACAATGCCAGAAGTGGAGCTGTGGCTCAAATGGACAAGCACCAGCCTTGAATGAAAAGGCTGCAGGACAGCTCCAGGCCCTGAGTTCAAATCCTAGTACTGGCTCATGCGCCCATGCACGCGGCACACACATACAATGAACACAGCAAAATGACTTCTGTGATCTTGTGCAGCAAATGAATGAGACCCATGGGTTGGTATGAGCCAAAGGCACCAGTGGCAGCCTGTGCAGCTGAGCCTGTGACCACTGAGCAGCTCCTAGGACTGTCCTCAGTTTGTGGGAACCTGGGGCTGTATCTAGGCAGCATCAGAACAGAATTGAAGCAGATGAACTGACTTGGAGAATGGCTGCTGGGGAATGGATTGGCTGTATAGGGAAGAAATCCCGACTCTAATGTTAACAACCAGGGATAAAGTTGTGTGTGTGAGTTTGAGCTCAGCTTGGCTTTTTGTCTCAGGACTGCTGCTTTATCACTCAATCCACACCTGCACTTCCAGCTTTTTGCTGATTAATTGGAGTCTTGCAGGGCTTTTTTTTTTTTTTTTTTGCCTGAGCTGGCTTCAAATCTTGATCTTCAGATCTCAGCCTCCTGAGCAGCTAGGATGACAGGCAAGACCACCAGCACCCAGCGTGGATTCCTTTGCAACCACTTTACTTTCAGCGTACCTGCCCTAAAGAAGTCGTCAGTTGAACAGCCTGTGTCTACCTATCTGTTCCTGGGGCTCTTCAAAGGAAGAGGATCTTGGGGTGCTCTATTCACCCACATTGAACCAGCCCCAAGACCATCTGTTGCCCGGCCAAATGTTTGTTCATTTGGTATGTACATACAACAGCAAACCTGCGTATTGTAAAGTAATATAAAAGAGCACGTCTTAAAGAGGACACAGGCGAGACAAGACTTCGCAATCATGCCGTAAGATGCCTTTATCTTATGCCTAACCCGATGAAGATGCCCATAAAAGTCTTATCTAAAGAGTCTTTCCAAGCTGGGTGTGTGGTGCATATTTGTAGTTCTGGTATCTCAGGAGACTGATGCAGGAGACATCCTCAGGCCAATTGAGTGCTGCTGGCCCACCCTTGTAATCCTAGTTACTCAGGAGGTCCAGGTGCGAGGAACACCATTTGAAACAAGAGATGCTAATTTCCAATCAACTGGCAAAAAGCTGAAATTGGAGGTGTAGCTCAAGTAGAAAGAGCCAGCCTTGAACAACAAAACCACACACACACACACACACACACACACACACACATGTCCTCCCTAGCGATATAAAAGTAAATTACTATATTAATATAAGCAATAATTGAACTACTATATTAATATGCCTATATTAATATGCTATTAAGCAATAAACCATGCCAATATAAGCAATATAAATTATTATACTTACAGTATAAATACACTGAGTGAAGAGACATAAGAGCACATAATATATGATTTCATTTGTATAAAATTCAAAACAATAACAAAACTAATTTGTGGTGATGGATATAGGAAAGTTGTCACCGTCGTGGGGCATTGACTGAGAGGATGACAGAACCAGCCGTGTCTTACCTGCACATCATTATACACGTGTGTAGCTTACGTCAAAACCCCTTGAGTTTAGTGCTTAAGATGTGTATGTTTTACTCAGTGAAGACAAAACCTACACACGTAATGTCATCATGAAAGGATCTGTTTTTCTCCATGACAGAGAATTGAACTCGGGGCCTCACTCTTGCTTAGCTTTTTCCATTCTATCTCTTGAGCCACAGCTCCACTTCTGGCTTTTTGCTGACTCATCAGAGATGAGTCTCATGGACTTGTCTGCTGGGGCTGGCTGGCCTCACATCATGTTCCACAGAGCTCAGCCTCCCAAGCAGTTAGGCGGATAGGCATGGGCTGCCAGTTCCCTGCTATGGAAATCTTTTTTTTTTTTTGGTTGCATGGCTTGAACTCTGGGCCTAGGCACTGTCCCTCAGCTCTTCAGCTCAAGTCAAGTGCTCTATCACTTGAGCCACAGCACTACTTCCGGCTTTTTGCTGGTTCATTGGAGATAAGAGTGTCCTGGACTTTCCTGCCTGAGTTGGCTTTGAACTGTGGTCTTCAGCTCTTAGCCTCCTGAGTAGCTAGGATTATAGGTGTGAGCCACCAACGCCCGACCTGGAAATCTTTTAAAACACAAAAGAAAACAAAACTAAGCAAGGAATTGTGGGTGGCACATCTCCACCTGGTTATTGTAAGAAGTGGCATGAGCAGACCCAACCGGCCAGAAATGGAGCATGTATGCAGTGGAGAGAAAACAGGCTTAAGGATGGGGGTGGGGGGAGAGGAGGGAAGGGGGGAACAAGGAAGAAAGGGAGATAATTAGAAACCATTGGATCCAAAGTAAAGTAAAATGTGTATTTGTGTGTGTGTGTGAGAGAGAAAGAGAGACAGAGACAGAGACTGAGACTGAGGCAGAGAGACAGAGAGAGATATTGGCTAAAGATTACATGCTCACATAATCCTGGCAATGAAAGATGTTTGCAGACATCGAATCTGGCCTTATGGCAACCGTGTGAAGTCGGCTCCTGGGAAGGGCGTGTGGTAGGGGTAGGGCTGGATGCCGCCCTCCTTGATCCTAGACTAAACAACACCTGATTCCTCACGAAGCCTGTGGCAGCCGGCCAAGTAGGACATGTTGTAGACCAGGAGTGAGCAGGAAGACATTCTGAGAGCTGGGGCTGAGATAAGTTATGGAGACTCTGAACCTACCAGTATTGTGTATGTGTGCGTGTGCATGTGCGTGCACACATGCATTTGTATGCATGCACACGTGCTGGTACCGGGGCTCGAGCTCAGGGCATCATTCTCTCACTTTTCTGCTCAAGTCTGGTGACCACTTGAACCACATCTCCACATCCAGCTTTTTGCTGGTTCATCAGAGAGAAAGAATCTCACAGAATTTCCTGCCCGGGCTGGCTTTGAACTGTGATCTTCTGATCTCAGCCTCCTGAGTAGCTAGGATGACAGCCATGAGCCACCGGCACCTGCAGGACAGGACTTTCAGTGAACCTCTTGAGCTAACCAGCTGGTGCTGCATAGCAGGCAGCTTCTCTTGCACAGACGAAGTCGGGGAAGGGCTGTGCTCATCACTGGTCTCATGGTGGAGATGGGAGAGTAGGGACGAATCTTGTTGACCACAGAATGAAGGGAAAAAAACAATGAACCGCTTCTCCCGACTCATTCATTACCTCCCTGTCCTATTGAGGAGGCCAGGATGGTGGCCATTTTGCTTATGGCAGGCCTCAGGACCACGTTCACTGTCACACAGGAAAGGACAAAGTCCAAGGCCATACAGAATCGCACCCCATGGAGGCAGGAAAGAACTGTCATTTAAAATAGAAGAAGCAGAAGCAGAAGAGGAGGAGGAGGAGGAGAAAGAGGAGGAAGAAGAAGAGAGGAAGAGGAGGAAAAGGAGGAGGAGGAGGAGGAGGAATTATTCAAGCCAGGCATTGATAGCTCACGCCTGTCATCCTGACTACCCAGGAGGCTGAGATCTGAGGATTGTGGTTTGAAACCAACCTGGGCAAGAAAGTCTGTGAGACTGGCACACACACATTAGAGAGAGAGAGCAAGTGAAAGAGAGAGAGAGCGAGTGAGAGAAAGAGGGAGAGAGAGGAGAGAGTTTATGTTGGCCATCACTCCATCGATGTGAAGTTTTGCCTTCCTTGCCTGGTATTACAGGAAGGTGGCAAGGCCCTGCCCCACAGGAGGAACCCCAGTACTGCTCTGAGGAACCCCAAGTTACTGTGACCAGGCTTCAGGAAGGCTGCGAGTCAGCCCCGGGAATCACACCGATGCCCTGTGGGGGGCAGGAAGGTGCTGTGTGCTGCGGCCAGGTCGGTGGTGGCGGGGTGCAGGGAGTGGGTTCCGCAGAAAGAAATAATGACGGCACAAAGGGATTAAAAGTCTGGTTCTGTTTTTAAAGTGAAGTTGGGGGACAGGGAGACGGGCTGTTAGGAGATTAGAGCATCCGGTAGACTTTGATAACGTGGACGGAAAGGAGAGATTGTGTTTGAACACAGGGAGAGGTTCAGGACTAGTCAAAGCACAGCTTGTGTCCATTTTCAAGCCGTCATTCATTCACGGCTTGTTGTTTTTATCTGACTGCAGATAAGGCTTATTATTGCTAAATAACATTATTGCTCCATGATTTAAACAAAGGTTATTAAAATCCTGAGCTGAGAGGATATAAGAGTTCCAGAAACAAGCCCGAAAGGAGACAGCGTCCACCGAGCCGCCATCCAACCAGGTAACCCCCTCCCCCACCCAGCCACAGGCAACAGGGGCTGAGCGCTTTCCAGAAGCATCTGTTTTCCTTTGTCCACTATACACTGGGCAGAACTTACAAGCCGCAGCTTTAATGCTGATACAGATGCTTTCTGTTGGGATGTTGTTTGATTTGAAGCATTTGTTTTCCCTCTTCCCTCTTGGTAAAGCATTCAGGCATATTGGGGTCAGTCAGAGCCCATGTGGTAGAATAGCGACAAGACTTAGTCCCAGTGCTCGCTGTCTGTTAAACAAGTGAAGGACTGCGCAGCCTAGGTGGAGGGCTAATGGATTCCATGGGGATTTGCTGGACATCTAAGTCATTTAGGCTCATGAAGCAGATGCTTTAGCCTGATACCAGTAGGTCACGCCTGGAATCCTCAGGAAGCTGAGATCTGGAGATCACAGTTCAAAGCCAGCCTGGGCAGGAAAGTCTGTGAGACTCTTCAATTAATCAGCAAGAAGTTGGGAGTGGAGCCATGGCTTAAGTTATAGAGCACCAGTTTTGAGCTAAAAAGATAAAGGATAATGCCCAGGCCGTGAGTTCAAGTCTCAGGAGCAGTACATACTCAAAAAAAAGTTCCCTTATCTCCACCCCAAGTCATCTGGATAAATGCTAATCATTTGTATTTTAGAAGGTATGGGTAAATGGCAAATAACCCATTATTTTGGGGAGAGGAAGTCCAGAAAAGGAATGTAGGGCTTCTGGAATTAACTAATGTGTGTGTGTGTGTGTGTGTGTGTGTGTGTGTGTGTGTGTGTGTGTGTGTGCTGGTCCTGAAGCTCCTCATGCTTTCAACTTGGTCTTTTCACTTAAGACTGGTGCTGAACCCTTGAGTCACATTTGCATTTCTGTCTTTTTTGCTGGTTAATTGGTTCTTCTGCCTGGGCTAGCTTCCAACTGTGATCCTCAGATCTCAGCCTCCCGAGTAGGATTATAGGTGTGAGCAGCACCTAAAATGTATTTTTCAATAATTGGGGAAAGGTTCGAGATACTTTCATTGATACGTTTTAAGGCAACCTCTGACTGTGTAGCCTCCACTGGAAATCCTGGGTGACTTCAGTCACCCAAATAGGATTACAGGTGTGTCCTACCATGCTCAGTTTAAGGTTTATAATTTTCTTTATTTTCTTTTCAAATTAAATTTCACCAGTCTAGGACAGCTGGTGACAGTGAGTAAGCCACATAATGCCAACACACCCCAGGTTTTTCTTATCTGTAAAATGTATTGGGACATAAAGGGTGGGCTAGATTTCCTTGTTTTGCACTCACAGTCTGACTTGTTGAATTTGAACTACTATAAACAACTACTTAAAGATCATTAGAAAATGTATTGAGATGCATTTTTTCACCCTGAACTCAAGCATGTAAAGAACCACTTGGTTTGAAGCCATCTGTTCAGATTTTTCTTGACTTCAGAAAGCCCATCATCAATCTCCTGCCTTCTGCTGGCCTTTCTGAAAATAGCAAGGGCAGACACCACAGTACCAGGGTCTCCAGTTAGGTTTCTGAGGCCTTGCAGGTAAGAAAATCTTATTAATTTATTTACTTATGTATCTATTCATTTATTTGTACAAGTGTTGGGGCTTGAACTCAAGACCTGGGTGCTGTCCCTTAGCTTTTTTTCCTACTCAAGGCTGATGCTCTACCACTTAAACCACATCTCCCTTTTTGGCTTTTTTTTTTTTTTTACTGGTACTTCGACTTTCTTGTGTGGCCTGGCTTTGAACCATGATACTCAGCCTCCTGAGTAGGTAAGATTATAAATGTGAGCTACTGCTGCCTGGGCCACTTCATAAATTATACTTCTTAATCTCTATGCTCATTTTAGGATTTGCTTGCTTTGTAAAATCGGAATTGTGCTAGCAAATATTCTTTTCTTTCATATGTGATTTGTTGATTGAATTTCTGTATCCTTCTCCTTGGTGTGACTGTGTTTGGATTGCAGAACTGGAAGAGCCCAGAAATTTCCAGAAAAAAAAAAAAACAACTACCAAGGGCTTTGAGATCCTTGGAGTGTAAGTGTCTGGAGTTTGGCCTCTGGGAGAAGAGGAAGATGGCATGTAAGCCCATGCGGCTGCTCTTCCTGCTGAGCTGTGTTGCCAGCCCTGAAGTCCTAGGGGGTGAGTAGAATCACCCAGCGGGGTGGAGCCCTCGGGCAGCCACATAACGTCCACCCCCCCACCCCCCCAACCCAGGAGATCATCAAAGCTGGCACTGGCTCTCCCCCAGGTCCCACCCTGCTTCTCATCTGGTGGGTCTCTGTTGTCCCTCCTCCTCCTCCTCTTTCTCTTCCTCCTTCCTGTACTGTGGCTTGAACTTAGGGCCTTGAGCTCTTGCTTAACTTTTTTGTTCAAGGCTGGTGCTCTACCACTTGAACCACAGCTCCACATCTGGAATTGGAGATGAACATCTCTTGGCTTTGTCTGCCGCGTCTGATTTGCAACTGTGATCCTCAGATCTCAGTCTCCTGAGTGGCTAGGATTACAGGCGTGATCTACTGGTGCCCGGCAACAGTAGAAATGTGTAGCAGTACTTCCAAGTTCTTCTGAAGGTGTTCTTTTCCCCTTCCTCCAGGAGGCTGAGGGTGTACAGGCTGACTGGAGCCTGGGCGTCCAGGCTTTTGCTGTCATGGGCTGTAACTGTCTTCTGCTCATGCGCAGATATCCTCAGACCCAGCTGTGCTTCGGGATGGTTTTACTACAACTCCAGTTGCTATGGATACTTCCGGAAGCTGAGGAACTGGTCTGATGCTGAGGTAGGAAATCTGAGTTGGCCAGGCACTGGTGGCTCACGCCTGTACTCCCGGCTTTTCGGGGTGGAGGGGGGCAGGGGAGAGGTGAGAGGTGAGGATTGTAGTTCAAAGCCAGCCAGGGCAGACAAGCTTTCATCACCAGTTAACCATCAGAAAACCAGAAGTAACACGGTGGCTCTAGTGGTAGAGCACAAGACTTGAGTGGAAAAGCCGAATGGTAGTAGGAGGCACTGAATTCAAGTCCCAGCACCTGCACACTCACACACACCTGCACACTCACACACACCTGCACACTCACACACACCTGCACACTCACACACACCTGCACACTCACACACACCTGCACACTCACACACCTGCACACTCACACACACCTGCACACTCACACACACCTGCACACTCACACACACTTGCACACTCACACACACAGGAATCTAACTAGTTGGTTTCCCTAGAGCAAGGGGCTGACAGATTCCCCAGGACTCATTTGATTCTGAGTTAGTTGTCGTTCTCCGGCACTCAACACCTCATGCCTCAGAAGGCTAGAAAATGGAAGCCGGAAGGAGACAGAAGAGGGGAAGCATAACTGAATTCTTCTGTGAAATTCACCAGAAAGAGAGAGATGGGCAGTGGGGCCTCGGGGACACCAGGCAATGTATGAAGAGCTCAGCACCAGGCTCCGGGGCTCATGCCTGTAATCCCAGGCATGATCGTGGCTTAATGCCACCCTGGACAGCAAAGTCCACCAGACTCTGATCTCCAATTAACCACCCAAAAAGTCAGAAGTGGAGATGTGGCTCAAGTGGTAGAGTGCCAGCCTTGTGCAGAAAAGCTAAAGGACAGTGCCCAGGCTCTGAGTTTAAGTTCCAGGAGTAGCCCCTCAAAACTATGAAGCAATCCAGATGGGAATTTCAATTGCTCTCCTCTCCCACCACTGCATGGGCCTTATTTCCTGGAGGCTTTGTCTGAGGTTCATCAGTAGCTGGGCACTAAGTGGGGAGTCGGCATTGCTGGTTGTGAATCTTGGTGCACAAAGAAGAAATGGATAAACAAGATGGAATGCCTGGTCTATGGACATTCCGATTCAAGAGTCTTCTTTGGCTAAAAGAGTATGGGGCTGGGCGCAGTGGCTCCCGCCTGTCATCCCGGCTACTTGGGAGGCTGAGATCTGAGGATCTCCCTTCAAAGCCAGACCAGGGAAGAAAAGTCTGTGAGACTCATCTCCACTGAACCATTTAAAAGCTTGAAGTGCAGGTGTGACTCAAGTGGTAGAGTGCCAGCCTTGAGAGAAATAGTAGAGAAAGAGAGAGAGAGAGCCCAGGTTCAAGCTCCAGTACTAATAAGAAACCATCAACAACAGCAAAAAGTATAGGAGGAGATGGGGTGAGTTTCCTGGCTGGAGGCATGGTCCGAGTGGAATAACACCTGCCTAGCTAGTTCAAGGCCTTGAGTTCAAGCCCCCGTATGGCAAAAACACACAAACACAAACAAACCAAAAACCCGTAGAGGTGGGATGCAGAAATGTGACCTTTAATTAGGAAATTTTCAATTCAGTGTGAGCTAAATGACTTTTATAAGATGCTATCAAGAGTAATTAATAGAGAAAACTGCAGGAAGTCATTGCTAACACTGCCTGAGCTGACTCCTGAACAAGGAGAAGAAGAGACAGAGATGGGAAGACGAGGCTGAAGGAGGAAGAGAAGCAGGAGGAGGAGGAGGAGCAGGAACAGGAGGAGGTGGAGGAAGAGGAGAAAGAGGAGGACTAGAAGGAGGAGCAGGAGGAGGAGAGGGGAAGGGAGGAGAGAGGAGGGAAGGGGGGAGGGGAGGAAGGAATCCGGACTCTGATTTGGAGAGCACTGAAGGGCAGGGGATGTGGCCTGTCACCTGCCGTCTCCTGTCCCACTCGGGAGCTGTCCCTTCTAAGCTGAGCGTGGAGGCCGTGGCCCATCCCCGTGGCTTCTGGGGTGGGGGGCATGCGTCCATTCCGCAGGGCTCAGCGGGGCAGACTGGCCGTGGCTGACGGGCATCTGTCTGTCGCAGCGCGAGTGCCAGTCCTACAGCAACAGGAGCCACCTGGCCTCCGTGCTGAGCTGGCGGGAGGCCGGCATCATGGCGAAGGCCATCGCCGGCTACCAAAGGATCCAGCCCGTGTGGATCGGTCTGCACGACCCCTACCAGGTAACCCACACTCGGGGCCCAGGACGGCTGCCACCCCGCCTGCCGCCTGGCCTCCAAGGACAACACTTCAGCCCTCAAGGTCAGGGACCCAGGCCTGGCTGTCAGTGGAGAGAACCCCAACAACACCACAGTCCCCAGCTTCTCACTGAGATCCCCCCAACTGTACCAACAGTACAGACACCGTTGTCTTCAAAATGTTGTAGTGTGTGTGTGTTAAAGCCACATTCGATCTTCAGTGCAAACAAACCTGGCACTCTACTATCCACTTCTGGCTTGATGGGGGTGCATTGGTGATGAGTCTCATAAGGACTTTCCTGCCTGGGCCAGATTCGAATTGCAGTTTCCAATAAACCACCAGGAAGTGGCACTGTGGCTCAAGTGGTAGAGCAGTCGCCTTGAGCTGAAGAGCTCAGGGACAGTGCCCAGACCCAGAGTTCAAGCCCCACAACTGACAAAAAACAAAACAAAACAAAACAAAAAACCCAATACTGAAAAAAAAAAAAAGCCAAGGGCTTGTTGGTAGCTTTCACCTGTAATCCTATCTACTCAGGATGCTGAGATCTGGAGGATATTGGTTTGAAACCAGCTCATGCAGAAAAGTCCTCAAGTCTACCTCCAAAGTAACCAGCAAAAAGCCAGTCTGGCAGCATGACTCAAGTGGTAGAATACCAGCCAAGTCAGCAAGCCAAGCAAGCATGTAGACCCTGAGTCCAAATCCTGGTACCGCAAAAGAGAAATCACTGAGTATACATTTTAAAGATCACACTTTTAGCCCAGAAAAGGATAGTGCCCCGCCCCCTCAACTGTTTACCGTGTTTTCCTCAGGCCTCCTTCCTCTTGTGCCCACACTTGGGTACTTGCCCCGTGGTGGTTTTCATTCCCGAGGGGGTGGGGCCCAGCGTGCTGACCCCACCCACCCCTGTGCCTCTCCCTCGCCTGTCATTGCAGAGACAGCAGTGGCAGTGGACGGACGGGGCCGCCTACGAGTACAGCGCCTGGAAGGGCAGGGCCGAGGACGGGGGCGGGCCTTGTGTAGAGGCCAGCCCCAGGCACAGTAAGTTCCAGAACCTCCCCCCATCCCCCCCTCCCGGCACCTGCAGGCTGCAGCTCGCTCCTTCACCTCCTGGTGCACCCCCATACCCTCGCCTCATCTCCTTTAGAGGCGTTTATTTACAGCTGCTGTCATCTCCCACGTGGGCAACACATGTCCACCTGGAGAAAACCGGGCCATAGGGGGTCGATGGAGGGAGGGAGGAAAGGTCACCGATCTCGCCTGGCTGCCCTCAAAACCCAATCTTGGCCCTGGTCCCTGGGGAACAATGGCCAGAGACCAGAGACAAAGATCCCTCTTTCCCTGCCTGCTTTGATCCTTCTTCCTTCCTTCCTTCATTCCTTCCTTCCCTCCTCACTTCTTTTTTTTTTTTTTTCTGTTGGTCGTGGGGCCTGAACTCTGGGCCTGGGCGCTGTCCCTCAGCTCAAGGCTAGCGCTCAACCACTTGAGCCACAGCGCCACTTCCGGCTTTTTCTGCTTATGTGGTGTTGAGGAATCGAACCCAGGGCCTCCTGCATGCCAGGCAAGCACTCTACCACTGAGCCACCTCCCCAGCCTGTCTTTTTTTGTTTTTTTTAACCAGTACCAGGATTTGAACTCAAGGCCCGGCCCTGTCTTTGTTGAGGCCCTACCACATGAGCTTCTAGCCTGACCTTTGCTTGTTTTGGAGATGAACACTCATGGACTTCTCGGCCAGGGCTGGCTTTGAACTGCGATCCTCTGGGTCTCAGCCTCCTGAGTAGTGGGGATGACAGGTGCCAGTCACCAGCATCTGGCCAGTGCATATTCTCTTGGCTCCACATGATGGCAGTGTGCAGCAAGCTGGCAGTCCCCATGTTACCCTCCAGCTCCATCGCTGCCGTCCTATCCTCCATGGGGTGTCTCAGCCCTTCTCCCCAGTCTCCTGCTGCCAGTGGGGAGGCCCAGGATGACAAGTGGCTCTGAGGAAGTGGTTTTGGGGACAGGGCTGGGCCTCTCTTTCCCACCCTCAGTCCTTCTACAGTCCACCAGCTCCAGACTCCACCCTTCCAGGAAAATGTCCACAGGACCGGAAGGAAGCTTCCTGTCACTTAGAAAAGATGCCCCCCAGGCCTTCCAAGTTCCCAGAACTCATTTCCAGTGTGCACAGATGAGGTCCTGCTGTACCATGAGGAGCTCTTGGGGTCTGCAGTAGGCTGCACTTCCAGATGACTTTTGAAACAAGTATTGGTGCCAGGGCTTGAACTCGGGCCCTCCCCGCCTCACTTGGCCTTTTCGGTGTAGATGCAGTCACGCCTCTGCTTCCCAAATGACTTTTATTTCTGTTAGGAGAGGGAGGAGCTGTCATGGTTACAGATCCGGAGATGGTAAGAGGCTCACAGACAAGATGCAGAGTTATCCTGAGGCTTTGGCTCATGCAGTTGTAGGGCTCTGGCATGTCTGAAACTTCCCGGGCATCCTGGAACTTTCTATGAGTTGATGGAACAGATGCTGAATGCCTTCTGCTCTGTTTTTTAAGGCCTTCCACTCGTTGCATGCGGCCCAGCTCTGTTATAGAGGGTAATCTATATTCCAAGTGATCTGAATGTCGGGAATATCTAAAACCAACCAACCAACCAAAAAAAAAAACCCCAAAGCCAGCAGCCCCCCTAGACTGTCAAACAGCTTAACATCAAGACCAAATACTGGGCCTCCTATGCTAGTCACGTGACAGGCACATGGGTCACGCGGGCCAGCGCAGCGCTGAACCCGATGTCCACTTGCTTTCTTACAGACTTTCTCACTTGGAACCCGAACGTATGCAGCCAACGCCACCATTTCCTGTGCAAGTACCATCCATAGAGCCAGCCTGAAGAGCCGCGCCACCTGTATGAGCCCTCTTCCTCTTCCTCTTCCTCTTTGCCTAGTGCCTCCTGCTCGCCCCGCCCACAGAGTAAACTCAGCAGCTCACCAGGCCTCCGGTGCACTGACTTCAGATGACGCCTGAGGCGGCCTGGGCAGAGAATAGCTTCTCACCCAGGCTCACCCTCCTCCTGCTGCACACTACTGCCCATCTCCCCCCCCTCCCCGCCCTCCCACGCCACCTCACACATCCAGAGGTGTGGTCCCAGGAGATGAAAGATCTGGGCCTTTGACCATAGGGGAGACCAAGAGCAAGAGCAAGCGTCTACCTCCTGGACCTCCTCAGCTCTGCCCCTCTCTCCACGGCCCACAGCCTCCCCTGGGCCTGAGCGCGTGTCCCTGTAGAGTCCTTCCCAGGCGGAGTTGCCCCATGAACTCTTTTATTAAAATAAGGAGGAGGTTGCTGTGTCCCAGTCAAACAGTGGTGGGAGTGGGAAGGCGACCCAAGACCCAACGATAGGTTCCAGTGTTGCTCATGCCTGTAATCCTAGCTGCTTGGGAGGCTGAGAAGTGGAGGATGATAGTTTGAGGCCAGGCTGGGCAGAAGAAAGTTCACAAGACTCCTGTGCAACCTATTGCGGGGGTAGCGGTCTATGCCTGTCATCCCGGCCGATGGTGGCAAGTTTAAGGTAGGCAGAGGTGGAGTGTGGCTCAGGGGTGTGCCCAGATGGAAACCAAGATCCATATCCTGCCGACAGCCAGTGAAAAGCAGGGCTGGAGGCATGGTTCAACAATGTGGTATGAGCCTAGCGGGAATGAGGCCCTGAATTCAAACCTCTCCCAAATGACTCAGAAGCACACTGGTATTTCTCTGACTTCCTCCACCTCTCATCCACCTCCCATCTCTCTACCAGTGGCCCTGGCTTGAAGTGGGGGGGGGGTTGGCTAATGCAAAGCAGGGTGATGAAGCTGGTGATGATGGATGACATCTAGTTACAGGTCTTCTCTACCTCCAAGGGTGGGATGGCATCACAGAGCGGGCGGTGGCGTCCCCTGGAGTCCTCGGGAATCCCCCCTTCCCTGGCCCTCCATGTGCTAAGCCTGCCTTAATCTCCCCACCGCGTGGCTTGAGCCGCCTTGTTGAGTGTGTGCTACAATAACCGGACGGCAGATGGTGCCTGCAGGCCCAAATCCTTGTGGTGATGGAAGAAAACGCAAGAACAACCTGGTAGCTGTACTCAGCCTGGCGTGGGCCCAGCCACAGGCACTTGTTCTGCTCCAGGCTGATTCTCCCCCCTCTCAGCATATTGCTGGCTAACTGGAGACCAGAATCCCTGAGATTGGGCTCTTTGGGCTGGCTTTGAGCCGTGATCCTCAGATCTCAGCCCCCTGAGTAGCCAGGATGACAGGCGTGAGCTGCTGGCGCCCGGCTCCAATCACATTCTTAGTGCGAAAGCCACAGCAGGGCAGAGAGCAGGGGTCCGGCAGTACACTTGTTCCCACGTGACACAGCCAGCTGCTTAGCACGGTCTTCCTCCCCGAGCTGAGGACCTTCCTCACCACCAGAGCAGCCCAAGAAGAGCTGGAGGAAGAAGGGGAGAGTGGGGTGGGGTGCCATTCTTTGGGGAAATACTAGAAAAACATATTGTTCAGAACAACAGCCGATCCACTGCAACCCGTGGATCGGGTCCTTCCTGTCCATGATCTGGAAGAAGCACACACTGGGAGGAGTGAGGTGGCAGAGATTTCCTGAAGGGAAGAGCCGCAGAGCTCCTCCAGATGGGCGGGTCCTAAGTCGAGCTGTGCGGGGGTTCATGAGGGTCTCTGGGAGAAAGCCACGTGACCCCAAGGTCACTGGACAGCCCGCGGGCCTGGTCAGCCCCAGGCCCCGTCCCGGCTGCAGGCTGCACGGCTCTCCACGCATCCTTCAGCCCCTGAGTGGGAGTCCATTCCCGCACACCTCTGGAGTCCACGCAGTCCGCTGTTCACGCCCAGGAGCAATGGGCCAAGACCGTGATGTCCAGAGGGCCACAGTGGGACTGCCCAGGGCCTGGTGACGTCATGCGGGGTCTGCACACAGGATGCTCACCCCTCTGGGAGGGGCCTGTACCCACCCCCACGCTCTCTATTCCCGCCCCCCACAAACACTGAAGGGGACTGTCATCCCCAAAGACAAAGCTCTTCCCAGTGACACTTCCCACGAACACCAGGTGGGTGGCGGTGGAAGCCGGTGGTGGTGGCCCAGTGGTCCCCAAGGACTTGTGTGCAGGCGCTGGGCAGGCCTCTGGGTTCTGGTAGAGATGGAAGATGGCTGTGAATGCTGGACGGATGGCCCCGCAAGGGACCCCGGTGAGCAGCGTTCCCCCCCCACCGCCCTCCCCCCTGCAGTGCTCCCTGAGCAGCATCAGGGAGAGGGCCGCCGAGCTGCCCCCACTCCCCCAGCGGGAGAGGTGTTCGTTCTGAGCGAGGTACAGTGGGGACAAGGTGGGGGCCACCTGCTTCTCGTTCACCCCACGCCAAGCCCGACAAAGACAACCCACAATGAGACACAACACAAAATAAAACGTAAAACCTAGCCATCGTTCTAGAAAGACATGAAACAGCTAGCGGCTCACACCTATAACCCTCGCTTCTCAGGAGGATCATGATTTTCAGCTTAGGTGGTGCTGAGGAATTGAACCCAGGGCCTCATGTATGGAAGACAAGCGCTCTACCACTGAACCACCTTTCCAGCCCCAAGGATCATGGTTTGAGGCCAGCCAGGGAAAAACAGACTTCTAGACTCCGCCTTGAATTCACTAGCGAAAAGCTGGAACTGGAGATGTGAGTTAAAAGGTAGAATGAAGCAGCCAGGTGGCAGGTTTGGCCCTGAGTTCACGCCCTAGTAAAGGCTAACCCCTAAAACGGAAAAGTGGAAGAATTCCTCTTGAAAGGCATTGCCTCCTTAGGAAAATCTGTGTGATAGAAAGATCTGTGTGTGCAGCCATAGACAACACCATACGAAAACAAGCAATAGAAGCACAAACAAGAAGGAAAGCAGGAGGCATGGCTTCAGGTGGGGTGACTCCATCCCTAAGTGTTTTAACTATTTAAATATTTGTGATCTCAAGTATCTGTCTTTCTTCCAAACCTCAGTTTCTTTATCTGACAGGAGTGAAACTGTTTTCCTACCAAGGACTATTAGGATATTTATTTTTTCATTACTGTTTTGCCAGTCCTGGGGCTTGAACTCAAGGCTGGGCACTGTCCCTGAGCTTCTTTTGCTCAGGCTGGCACTTTACCACTTGAGCCACAGCGCCTCTTCTCACCTTTTCTGCATATGTGATACTGAGGAATCAAACCCAAGGCTTCATGCATGCTAGGCAAGCACTCTCCCACTAAGCCACCTTCCCAGTCCCCCACCCCCAAATTTGGATATTTATAACATCATAATGAGACATATAAAATGATCCATACAGCAGACATGCTGTGAATAAGACGCGCATGTGTCTGTCTGGTCATGTTCTATGTGATTTCAGGGGGATCACAGGGCTGGTGGGCTGGATGGTCCCTATCTCTGAAAGCACTACAGGGCCCAGTTAGAAGTGGCTAAGTGAGCTGGGCACCGGTGGCTCACGCCTGTCATCCTAGCAACTCAGGAGGCTGAGATCTGAGGATCGAGGTTCAAAGCCAGCCCGGGCAGGAAGGTGCATGAGACTCTTACCTCAAATAAACCACCAGAAAACTGGAAGTGGAGCTGTGGCTCAAGTGGTAGAGTGCTCTCCTTGAGCTGAAGAGCTGAGGGACAGCGCCCAGGCCCAGAGTTCAAGCCCCACGACTGACAAAATAAAAAAGGAGTGGGTGAGTGAGGACGTCTGCTGTGAGGTACATGGACTTGAAACCGGCCTTCGGATGAACCTCTTTCCACTGTGTGTGTGGACCTTTGCCCCTGGGGCTAGATGGGTAATTCTGGATTGAGCAATCTGCCCCCTTTCCCACATTGTTTTGCTCAGTTCGTGTCTGGGTGAGCTGATGACACAGGCTGAAGCAGGAATCGGTGTCTGGAGTCAGTGGGAATGGTAAATGTGAAGACACAAAAACACCTGTGACCAGTGGCTCACCTCTGTAATCCCAGCTTCTCCGGAGGCTGGGACGTGAAGATCGCAATACAAAGCCAGCCCAGGCAGGAAAGTCCGTGAGACTCTTTGCTCCAAATGTTTTTTTTTTTTTTTCTTTCAGAAGTCTGCCAGATTCCCCTTCTAGTTCTGCTTTGGACTGTTTTGGGGAGTGGAATATGAAATATATATCATAATATCCACAATCTATTTAAAAAATAGTTATTTTTCACATTTCTCCTCCTTGTTTCCTTTCTTTTTTTTTTTTTTTTGCCGGTCGTGGACCTGAACTCAGGGCCTGGGCGCTGTCTCTCAGCTCTTCAGCTTAAGGCAAGTGCTCTACCGCTTGAGCCACAGCGCCACTTCTAGCTTTTTCTGTTTATGTGGTGCTGAGGAATCGAACCCAGGGCCTCAGGCATGCAAGGCAAGCACTCTACCACTGAGTCACCTTCCCAGCCCCCCTCCTTGTTTCCTTGCAGTCTTTCCTCTCACTCCCCCACTGACTCTTGTAATACCACTCATAGGTGCCGTCTGGAAGCCACTTCAGCCACGGATGCAGGAAGTTTTGCCTTTCAATGAAATGCTATGCTTTGTCTGTGTTACACCCTTTACCAGTTTGTTATCTTCATTTCCATCCTCAGAATTTTTGGTTTTTGAAACAAGAGTTTGAAATTAGATGGGATCAACTGGGAACTTACTAGTTACTACCTTAAACAGGCTTAAATCCAGCCAGCGCCTGTGGCTAGAGCTTGTAATTCTAGCTAATTGTGAGGCTGAGGTATGAAGATCGCTGTTTGAAGCCAGCCTGGGAAGAAAAAGTCTAGGAGATTCATCTCTAATTAACCAGCAATAGAACAACTGGAAGTCAGAAGTGTGGCTCAAGTGATAGAGCACCAGCCTTGAGTG